TTTTTTTTTTTTTTTTTTTTTTTTTTTTTTTTATTATAGAATTTTCCATAATTCACAAATATGTAATTGGGTACGTTTTATGAATATGAATTTCATTTAATTATTAAATAGAATTTAAAATGCGCTCATTTTGCCAAAAATATAAATAAGACGTGAACAGATTCCCGGTAAAAAAATTAGATACGCATGTAGTACGAATTAATAATAATACCAATGAACAACATACAATACAAGCAACCGGTTATTTCATTTTGTCTTAGTGCCTAAAGAAATATTTATCGCAACGTAATAAAATATTACTTTTCTTCCCTTTTTCTTTTTTTCCAAACAGGGTTGGGGACGTTGCCTAACAAGACTGGTCATACGTTATGCGCGCCTAGAAGTGCACATAAATATACGTGCAAGTGTTTTGTTTCCTAACACTTCCCCTGGCTTTTTACAATATGTTAACATTATTGAGAATATTCTTCAAATCAAAATTTAAGAACCATCGATTGTAGTTTGTTCTGACCTGCGAGGTGAACATGTACGGAAGCATGTGTACGCGTGGATAATCATATGTGCTCATAAGCTCGGATTGACGATTTTCCTTGGTAAGAGACGAGCGCCAAATATATACACCATCCGCCGGAATGCAGAGAGGGGGGGACTCTGCAAATGGCGATAATTCATGGAGGGCTTACCATTCCGATGAGACTCCTCTGGAAGGCAGAAACCCTTTCTGGGCTTATGTCCTCCGAGCTACAGATCAAGACCTCGTTAATTTCCTGCGCAGAGAGGAGAGTGTATCGTATTATATGAAAACGGCCGTTCACATGTGAGTGCGCAGATAAGTACGCGTACTGGTGCATGACAGTGAAGTGGCAGCATGCACATCTATATATGTGTAGATCCCGCGCGCTCTGAACTCTACGTGACTTCATCTTAAATCTCGCTCACCTTATTCGTGGAGGGGATACTAATGACTGACGCGAAGATCTTCTGGAAGAAGAGACGAATATGCTTCCTCACAGTTCCATCCCGCGTCAACACATTAATTACAAGCACTCCATTTTCCTTCAAAAGACGCTTAACACTGCGCACATTTTCTTCATCCAAAAATTGTACGTGTGGGCAAGTGACGTACATCTTGCAGCCATCCATTTCGACGTAGGAATTTTGCGTATTGTTAATGTCGATAAAGATGGCATGGTAAAATTGAGACTCACAATGATCCTTTACATAATCATGCGAATCCTTAATGATGTAATTTGTTCTGTGTTTTTTATTTTCCTCCATCTGCTCATCAGAGAAAAGAGAATAAAATGATTTTACCGTCTCGTCAATTTCGACGATGTCGAGGTGCAAATTAAAATCTGCAAAAATGGACTTTAGTATGTTTGAGAAGACATTGGTGCCTCCGCCCAAAATACAGATGTTGAAAAAATTATGGGCCTCCTTGTGGTTATCACTTATCACGAAGAAGAGACTGCAGCAGAAGCTTATGTGATACTGGCTGGCCGATTCGATGTACTCGAAGTGGGGGTTGTCGTCAAGCCTTTTCATCACTTTTTTATTTATTTTTTTTTTTTTTTTTTTTTT